TTGATTTCTGCTCTGATCTTTATGATTTCTCTTCTCCTGCTGGGTTTAGGCTTTATTTGCTGTTCTTTCTCCAGCTCCTTTAGGTGGAGGGTTAGGTTGTGTACTTGAGACCTTTCTTGTTTCTTGAGAAAGGCTTGTATTGCTCTATACTTTCCTCTTAGGACTGCCTTTGCTGCATCCCAAAGATTTTGAACAGTTGTGTTTTCATTTTCATTGGTTTCCATGTATTTTTTTAATTCTTCTTTAATTTCCTGGTTGACCCATTCATTCTTCAGTAGGATGCTCCTTAGCATGGCTCTCTTTCTTCCCTAAAGGCATTTACTGTCTTGACTTTTATGGTATTCCTTTCCTTGTTTTCCCTTATAGTTTACCTCCTAAGGAAATACCCCTAAACAAATTATCATATTTTACTTGCTTTTGATCTTTATGTGTGTAATCATATATTACTCTGTAATCTTTGGCTTCTTTTTTCAGTATTATGTTTTTAAGATGTGTCTATGTTGCTGCATGTTGCTGTAGTTAAGTTTCATTGCTGTATAATATCCCATTGTATAAAAACATGATGTGTTTTTTATCTGTTCTACCATTAATGGACACTGGGTAGTTTTCATTTTGGGGCTATTAGTGATTAATGCTGCATTGAATTCTTGTACATGTACGCTGGTGCATATAAGCATGCATTTCTGTAGCATTTTTCTGGAAGACGAATTGCTAGTTCACACTGACATGACATTTTACCATGCGATTTTCCAAAGTATTGAAATGCTCCCATTAGCAGGAGAGGAGAATTCCCATTGTTCCCTAACGTTGGCAATATTTGTTATTGTCAGAGTTTTTAATTTTTGTCAATCTGATGGATATATAGTGTTATCTTACTGTAGAGTTTTATTTTTGCATTTCCCCATGTTTGCAGGTTAATTTCAGCTAACCTGAAATCTGCTCTTTGAAACTTATGGGCATTTATGTATCTTTTAAAGAGTCTGAGATTAAAACGGCTACTTCAAAAATCAGAGTAACATGTCGTAAATATAGAATTAAAATATTAAGGTGTTCTGTGGCTACCCTTATGAAGCTAACTCTGAAACACAGTTTTGATTTTATTCATGAAGCCTCAAGCTGTTTGGATCCTGTTTCCATCTGTATTTCAAAGCTCATATTAAGCTACTTTTTGAACATTCCTCAGTCAATGATCTTTGTCCAAACCCAGTAAAAATACAACCAAAGCATAGCTAATGACTGCATCAGAGAATCTGCCCATTTTACCTACTTTGGATAAAGCTGCAGAAGAATGAAGAAGACACCCTCAGCCCTCCTGTCCCTGACTCTGACTCTGATGTACCAGGACAGGGTGATGAGGATGAGAAGGTGAACCAGATGTCTGCTACCTCTCTCATCCCCAAGAGCTGACCCGGCTCAGCCCCAGGCCACCTGGTACTGAGACCTCAATCACTTCTCCCCACGTCCTTCAGGGAATCCATCATTATTTTGTGGTTGTTTTTTTATTAGCAGAAAATGTTATGGGGAAAAATGAAGAAGAGGATTTACATCATGCAATGTACCTACTACAGATGTTCACAGCCAACTTTTTGGCTCTCTGAAATTCTTTCTCTCAGGGCTGCTACCATAACCCTTCTCTCCTTTCCTACACACATCCCAGTCTTCCTTGATGTCCTGGGCAATTCATTTCTACCCTCTAACTTGCATTCTCTGCTCAGAAATACAAAAGCCCTTCAATTCACATGACCCTACCCTTCAGAGAAGGCAATGCAGTTCTGTTAGCATCCTAACATGCTCTTGGGATCTTATCCCCTACCACCTTACAGTTTATAAAATACCCCTCATAGCCACAGAGAGTGTGAAGACAAGGTCTGATAAATACATCTTTGCCATCTTTTTATGTCAGCTTCCAAAGTTGATCCAAACCTTTGATCCAAACCCATTAGCCTCACCGCCACCACCCACCCCTTGCCAGAAGAGTTAACATGAACTGACAGGAAGTGAGTGACTTCCAGTTGGCTTTGACCACCAGCAAATTGCCCCAAAGGCAACTAAGAACATGAGGAAGCAGAAGCATGAATGATCCAGATGACGAGGCTCTGAGCTCTTAACACTCTGGGCCTGGGGCAGAACATCCAAGGCCTGACTGCAAGTTCTCTTGTCACTTTGCCTTCCCCTAAGTCTCAGGTTCCCTACCCTGGAGCACTCTCTGCTGCCAGAGGATCAAGAGCAGTGGAGAAAACGGACAGGTCTTCTGCTCTACGAGGTCTACGGACAGTCAGAAACAGTAGGTAGAAACAGTAGGTAGATGGTACTTTCTTGATCAGTCAGGATGTGCTGAGCCACTGAGCCCAGCAGACGAGCTGAACCATGTATATGCAGAGGCCCCACTCTGCTCACACATTGCCTGAAGCCAATGGGAGGCTTCAGAGTTCTAGGCTAATTTGCCCCAAATCAATTTGCACAAAGACAATTCACAGCTCATCAGTTTGTCAAGAGGCCAATGTCCTGAAAACTATTGGACAAAACTTTGAAAAGGGGTGTAAGGACATGGTGCTACCATCCCTGGGATCATTAGCTCTAGGGAGCCCAGGAGGGGTGGCGGGATGGGAGGTTCTCTCCAGTAACATGGAGCCCACCATCAGCAAGTCCTGCCTACTTCATTCCTTCCTAGGGTGGCAACCACAGGCAGCCAGGAGCTGGCCCCAGAAGTTCATTTCTGGATGCTCATGTGGACAGCACACAGGTTTGATTGTGGGACACTAGCTAGAGTGGGGGAGGGAACAGAGACTTTCTGTATATACCAACACACACACACAGACACACACACATACACACACACAGTGTGACTCCCAAAGGCATCACTGACTAGCCAGGTGACAGGACATTCAGAGTATCAGGCATGTCTTAAACCAGAAAAACGTTATTAATGATAGTAGGGGCAGGGGCAGGTATCTTCCAACACAATTCTCAAGTCATTTCTGTTGCTGGGCCACTTTCCCCAGCCTCCTTGTTATCCCTGTAACTGACAGACAGACGACTACCATCTCAGGAGCTGGAGCAAAATGACTATTTTAGCCTCAATTCACATACTCATCTTGACTTTTTTGCAAAAAAAAATATGCTTTTAAATCATCAGTTAATTGGTCCGCTTCCAGGCCTAAGAAATATTAAGACTCTAGGTTAGTTCTTGTATGGTTCATAGTTTATATTTGGACAAGGAGGAGGGTGGGATGAGAACTACAATATACCCATGATCCAGGTTCCTTTGTATCAACTCTTTGCAACAACAGAATACTGCCTCATACCCAGGTGGTGCTGTATTTCACAAAGTATTTGCATAGCCACTGACTCATTTCTGGGACATTTTCCACATGCCTGTACTGTGAGCAGCAACATAGCAAAGGAGGAAGAGCTTTCCCTCTCAGGAACTCAGACCCCGGTTCAAATCTCAGCTTGCCAATTACAGGCTTCAAGACCACTGGCATAGCACTGAACCTTCCAGAGTCTCTGCTTCTCTGTCTCCAAAATGGAAATATAACCCAGTCTCGCTGGGTTGTGATAAGGGAAACGAAAGGAAGTATATAAAGCTCTGGCTACAATGTCCAACCTCTTGTACATGCTCACCTTGCTGTTACTCTTGTTTTTAAGTAAGTGTTGCCCTAGATACTAGGGTAGTAGAGATGAATGGGGCAGTCTCTATTCTCAGGATGCTTGTTATTCACTGAGGGAAACAGACAAGCAAAAATAAGGATAATTGGGAGCTCTCGGTTGGCTCAGTGGGTTGAGTTTCCGACTCCTGGTTTCAGCTTAGGTGGTGATCTCATGGGTCGTGGGATTGAGCCCCTGCATAGGGCTCCATGCTCAGCGGGGAGTCTGCTTAAGACTCTCTCTCCCTCTGCTCCCCAAACCCCATTCAAGCACTCTTGCACTCTTTCTATCTCTCTAAAATAAATGGATAAATATTTTTTAAAAAAGAAGTATAATGCTCTCTTGGCTACAATGGAAGTGTGGGAAAAAATACTACAGAAGGAGAATGTCCCAACTGACTTTTCTTGGGGCTAGAATAATAGCTAGTTGTGACTGTTTATGGAGCTAACTTGGTGTGCCAGGCACTGTGTGAAGAGTTTTCCACACACTCACAGGTACTATGAGAGCTAAGTGTTATAATTACCCCTTTACAGAGAAGATGAAGGGGGATTAATTGGCACATAGCTGGAGTCAAGATTCAAATCCTTGGGTGGCTCAGTCGGTTAAGCATTTGCCTTTGGCTTGGGTAGTGGTCCCAGGGTCCTGGGATTGAGCCCCACATTGGGCTCCCTGCTCAGCTGGGGAGCCTGCTTCTCCCTCTCCCCCTGCCCGTCCCCCTCCACCCCTACTCTGTCTCTCGTTTTTCTCTCTCTCAAATAAACACACAAAATCTTAAAAAGAAAAAAAAAAGATTCAAATCCTGGTCTAGCTTAGCTTTAGAAAGATATTTTAGAGTACCATAAAGGAGGAATAAAGTTCATCAGGAGGATAAATGGGGGTGGGGCAGTTGCCTAGCAGAGGGGACAACACAATCTGAATATTCTCAGCACAGCTCTGAGTCGTTGAGACAGGGTTCCTATCACTGTTTAACAGCCTGAGTCAATGTTAAATGATATCATGGCCTTCCTCTAGCAAACGGACACATGTCTGACATACAGTGCGTACTCCACACCTCACGTTACATGCCCACAGCCCCGGGCTCACCCCTTTGCTTCTTTTTTGGCCCCTCGCAGTGGACCCGGTAGCCCCAGGAGCTCGCACAGGCCCAGTCTATGTCAGGTGTGGTGAATATCTGCTGACCAGAATTGGGTCCATGCCTTGCACCTAGAATCTGGGCCTTCTAGCTTCCCCATAAGGGTTCTTTGCATAGCATCGAATGACATGGATGAGTGAGGATGCTGTGTGTGGTTCTTAATGCTTTGTAATCAGCCTGGACTCTTTGGCCAACCCCATTTTCTTTCTTTTATGAATAGGGAGTAAGTTGTGTCACTCTCCGTGGAATGAAGATCAAGCCGGGTTCCATCGGGAAAGGCATCCCCTCCTTCGACGTCCAGGTCTGGTCCTAAAGGCATTTGCTGGGTGCAGTTAGGGCTGAGCTGGGATTGAACAATTGTGGGACACCAGGTGACAGAACCAGCTGTGCCCACTCCACCCCACCCCCACCCCAGTTGTTGTCCTTCTTCTTCTCCTCCTGTTTTCCCGCCGATTTCCTGGGGAGGCTTCAGTTGAGAACTGCAGTATCCTGGGCATGAATGCTGCTCAGCCTGGCAGCTGGAAGCCTCATACACAACAGATGGGACCAGAGCACCTGGAGGGAGCCCTGGCAGCTCTCTCCATCAGCTGGTGCTTCTAGTTTTCCCTGATCTGTGTTTTCTAGCTTGAAGACACGTTTGCCACGTCTGCATATCCGTGAGACCAGGAGACCCATAACTTGGGTTTCACCATTTCCTGACTTCAAAGTCTTCTGACAGCTGTAATCTATTTTTTGACAGGGCTCCTCCCCCCATTTATTCTCACCAGTGTCACACAAATAGTCAGGTACTGTGTGGGTGGGGCCGGCGTGTTGGGGTGGCCCTGCAGGTTGGGATCCACAGGCCTGTTGCTCCAGATCATTGACGACAAGGGCAACAGCCTGCCGTTCAACACTGAAGGCAACATTGGCATCAGGACGAAGCCCACCAAGCCCATTGGCCTCTTCATGGGCTATGAAGTAAGTGGTGATCCTCACCTGCCCACTTCCAGGCCCCCCAAATCCCTTCAGGGAGCAGTGTGGGTACTAAGGGGGTGGATACAACTCTGTACTACGAGCCTTCTTCACACCTCTCTTCAGTCACTCCAACTCAATGAAGCCTCTTCTAATTAATCTCTAAGCTCCTAGTGTGTTCCCACATCCTTTCCTGTCCAAAACCATCTGACACTTAAGTGCTGACAGGGTAGAAAGAAGCACCCCAGACTTGGGTTCCAGTGATCTCTCTCTCTTTTTTTTTCAGATTTTATTTATTTATTTGACAGAGAGAGACACAGTGAGAGAGGGAACACAAGCAGGGGGAGTGGGAGAAGGAGAAGCAGGCCTCCTGCAGAGCAGGGGGCCGGATGTGGAACTTGATCCCAGGATCCTGGGATCATGACCTGAGCCAAAGGCAGATGCCTAACGACTGGGCCACCCAGGCGCCTGTCCAATGATCTCTTGAGGTTGAGTATGCAGGAAGCTTTGACTGAGTTCAAATCCTACAGTCCCACTTACCAACAGGCTGTGCACAAATCTGTTAACCTTGCTGAGCCTCCAGAGAGGACAGTGGTGCCCCCACTTCACAGAGGAAGAAACTGCAAATTGGAAGCTTTGTATGTTTTCCCCACGTCAAATAAATGGCAGGTCTAGGATTCAAACCCACATCTTTTTGGTTCCCAAACCCTACGTAAGAAATCCAGGGATTACATAAAACTGTGACAGGTTCTAAAGAAACCTGAAACTCTTGACCAGGCAAATTCTCAGCTTCCAAGATTGGTCAGGGGAGAGTGGACAGACCTTGAAGTTGATCTCAGACCCGTCTCCTTTCTCCACAGGAACAACCATTGGTGTCCCTGTTGGCCTCACTCTATGGCCTTGGGGGTGGGTGGTGCTGCTCCTTTTGTGACGTTATTGACCAAAAGCAAATAATGCAGGCCCTAGCCTTAATTCACAGTAGCACGATTTTAGGCTTGGATAAAAGAGGAAATAAACAGAGTAACAGATATATAGATCAGTGGTTCTCAACCCTGCCTGTATGTTAGAATCAGTTGAGGAGATTTAAAAAAATAATTCTTGGATCCAACCATAGAGATTCTGGCTAAATTAAACTGGGATGGTCCAGAGCAACATCAGTTTTGTTTTAAATTGGAAGTAACATATTTTATTTTACAAAGATGTCCTCCTCTATGCCCACACCTGTGTAGATATATACCCCATTTCACATGCTCTCTTGACTATATGTTGTCACTCCTCCACTGAGATTTGTTTGCTTTTTTCCTTTCTTTTCTTTACTGAGGTAGAATATATAAAATTCACCCTTTTCACCATTTTTAAGCATACAATTCAGCAGCACTGAGTAAATCACAACATTGTACAATTACCACCATGCATGTGCAGAAATTTTTTCCATCCCAAATGGAGACTCTGTTCCCATTAAACAATAACTCCCCCCTCCTCCTCATATCCCCAGCATTTGGTAACCTTTAATATACTTTTTGGCTTTAAGAATTTGCCTATTTTAGGTACCTCTATTAAGTGGAATTGTACAACATTTGGCCTTTTGTGTCTGGCTTATCTCACCTAGCACATGTTTTCAAGGTTCATCCATGTTGTAGCATGTGACCAAATGTCATTTTTTTTTCAGGCTGAATGGTATTGTATGGGTATACCATATTTTGTATATCCATCAATTTCTTAATAGACATTTAGATTATTTCCATCTTTTGGCTACTGTGAATAATGCTGCAATGAACATTGGTGTGCAAGTATCTGTTTGAGTTCCTGCTTTCACTTCTTTTGGATATATACCTGAAAGTGGAATTGCTGCATCTTATGGTAATTCTATATTTAACGTTTTTTTTAAAGATTTTATTTATTTATTTGACAGAGAGAGAGAGACAGCGAGACAGTGAAAGAGGGAACATAGGCAGGGGGGAGTGGGAGAGGGAGAAGCAGGCTCCATGCTGAGCAGGGAGCCCGATGTGGGGCTTGATGCCAGGACCCTGGGATCATGACCCGAGCCGAAGGCAGACGCCCAATGACTGAGCCACCCTGGCGCCCCTATATTTAACTTTTTGAGGAACTGCCAAAATGTTTTCCACAGTGGCTGCACCATTTTATATTTCTATCAGCAATGTACAAGTGTTCCCGTTTCTCCATATCCTTGCTAATCCTTGTTATTTTCAGGTTTGTTTGTTTGTTTTGTGTGTATAATAGTCATTCTACCGCATGTGATGTGGTGTCTCATTGTGGTTTTGATTTTCATCTCCCTAATGACTAGTGATGTTGAGCATCTTTTCATGTGCTTATTGGCCATTTGTGTACCTTCTCTGGAGAATTGTCTATTTAAGTCCTTTGCCTATTTTTAAAATTGGGTTGTTTGTTTTGTTGTTGATTTGTAAGAGCTCTTTATATACTCTGAATATGAACCCCTCATAAGATATATGCTTTGCAAATATTTTCTCCCATTCAGTGCATTGTCTTTTCACTCTTTTGATAGTGTCCTTTCAAGTAAAATTTTAAAAATTTGATGAGGAACATTTTATCTATTTTTTTCTTTTGTTTCCCGTGCTTTTGGTGTCATAGTCAATAAATAATTGTCAAATCCAAAATCAGGAAGACTTCCCCCTATGTTTTCTTCTAAGAGTTTCAGAATTTTAGCTCTTGTGTTTAGGTTTTTGATCCATTTTGAGTTAATTTGTGTATATGGTGTATAAGGTAACTGCATTCATTTGCATCTGAACATCCTAGTTTCTCAGTGCCATTTGTTGAAAAGATTGACTTTTCCCACTGAATGGTCTTGGCATTTTTGCCTAAAATCCATTGACCATATATGTGAGGATTTCTTTCTGGGTTCTCTATTTTATTACAATCATCTATGTGTCTTTTTTTTTTTAATGCCAGTTTTGTATGGGTGTACCATATTTTGTATATCCATCAATTTCTTAATAGACATTTAGATTATTTCCAGTATAGTTTTGCAGTAAGTTTAAAAATCAGTAGTGTAAGCTCTTCTCCCTGGAAAGAAGAACTTTCTTCTCCCTTTAAAAGATTGTCTTGGCTATCTGGGATCTGTCAAGATTTCATATGAAATCTATAGTTTTGCAGTAAGTTTAAAAATCAGTAGTGTAGTTTTGCAGTAAGTTTAAAAATCAGTAGTGTAAGCTCTTTTCCCTGGAAAGAAGAACTTTCTTCTCCCTTTAAAAGATTGTCTTGGCTATTTGAGATCCGTCAAGATTTCATATGAATTTTAGGATGAATATTTCTATACCACTGAGATTTTGATAGGGAGTGCATTGAACCTGAAGATGGCTTTGGGTAGTACTGTCATCTTAATATTAAGTCTCCAGGGTGCCTGGGTGGCTCAGTCGGTTAAACGACTGCCTTCAGCTCAGGTCATGATCCTGGAGTCCCGGGATCGAGTCCCACATCAGGCTCCCTGCTCAGCAGGGAGTCTGCTTCTCCCTCTGACCTTCCCCCTCTCATGTGCACTCTCTCTCTCTCTCTCTCATTCTCGCTCTCTCAAATAAATAAATAAATAAATAAAATCTTAAAAAAAATATTAAGTCTCCAATTAATACAGTATGTCTTTCCATTTATTGATACCTTCTTTCATTTCTTTCAGCAACAATTTTTATTTTTCAGTGTACGTCTTTCACTTTCTTGACTAAATTTATTCTTAGTATTATATTCATTTTGTTGCTATTCTAAATAGAATCATTCTTTAATATCTTTTGTCCATATATAGTTTTTTCTGTTTTTTAGTTCTTTGTTCATTTTTTCTCTTAGTTTTTGATCACTTAACACGTTTGACTTATTATTTCTTCCAAGTTTTTATTTAAATTCCACTTAGTCAACATACAGTGCAATATTAGTTTCAGGAATAGAATTTAGTGATTCATCACTTACATACATCAGCCAGTGCTTATCGTAAGGAGTGCACTCCTTAATCCCCATCACCTATTTCACCCATCCCCCTGCCCCTCCCCTCTGGTTACCATCACTTTGTTCTCTACAGTTAAGAGTCAGTTTCTTAGCCTTCCCCTCTTTTTTCCCCAATGTTCATTTGTTTTGTTTCTTAAATTCCACATATGAGTGAACTCTAGAAATCAGATTCTCCCACTTCCCTGGGGGTTGAGGTTGCTGGGGTTTCATTGTTTTGTTTTTTGATTTTGGACTGTTGAAGGCTATAGTAGTCCTTTGTTGTGGTACTTTTGCAAATTCTTTAAAGACTATTGTTTGTCATGTGTGATTACTGAGGTTTCTGATCCTTTAGCTCGTGTTCAGTTAATGTTTTGACAGAGATTTCCTTGAGGGGCAGGAGCTCAAATGAACAAAGAAAAACATCACCAACCAAAAAAGAAGAGAGAACAACCACTGTGCAGATTGGCTCTGTGCTGGGATACTCCTTCACCACTTAGCTGGACTTGCTCTGAGCCTAGGGATCAGCCTGAGATGAAAGCTTAAGGTTTTCTCAGGACTTTGCTGAGCATGCATCTTGCCCAGGCATGTTCACGGCTGTCTTAATTCCCCCATGCATATAGCTGTCTTGAACATCCTAATTTCAAAAACAAAAAACAAAAAAAACCCCAAAACTCACTCCAGCATCTCCCCCAGACCTTGATGGTCTATTGTATATCTCCACCCATAATCTCTTACCTCAGGCAACTTCACTTTTGTAGTTTGCCTGGTAGCTTCTATGAGCCGGGCCTGCTGCTTTTTTCTGAGTTACATAAAGTGAGTTCCTTGCACCTGTCCTTCAGGCAGCCCCCCAGATAGGTTAGAACAGATGCACACAATAATCATTATTTTACTTTAAAACATCTGTTTTTGGGGGCACCTGAGTGGCTCAGTGGTTAAGCATCTGCCTTCGGTTCAGGTCATGATCCCAGGGTCCTGGGATCGAGCACCGCATCGGGCTCCCTGCTCCACGGGAAGCCTGCTTCTCCCTCTCCCACTCCCCTTGCTTGTGTTCCCTCTCTCGCTGTGTCTCTCTCTGTCAAATAAATAAATAAAATCTTTTAAAAAAATAAAACATATGTTTTTTAAAAAGTTAATCAGTATCACAAATGGAAAACAGTATGATTTGCCAAAAACAGAAGGCAATTATAACTATAACTATAATGCAAACAAAACAATTTTTCTTGAATTCTAGCTAAACCCTGTTCCCACTAAAAGCTCCAGTCCTGAAACTTACTCTTGGTAGTTCCAGAGCTTTTAAAAACATGTCAGAGGGTCTCCTTAATACAATCAGAACAATTGGAAGGGAACCTAAAATGGGATGTCATTCAATTTTTTTTTTTTTAATTTTTTTTTCCTGGACCTTTTTCAAATCATTTCATGTTTCATGAGAGGAATGATCTCAACACATTGAGTGTTTGAGTGCAAACACTTGGTGGTTGAGTACAAAGGCTGTGGAGCAAGAATTAAATTCAAATACCAACCCTACCACTGACCAGCTGGGTGACTTTGAGTGAGTTATTGTGCTTCTCTGAGCATTCATTTCTTCTGTTATGGCCTATAAAAATCTAGCCTCACATAAAACCTGCACATGAATGTTGAGAGCAGCTTTATTCACAATAGCCCCAAACTGGAAACAACCCAGATGCCCTTCAATGGGTTGACACCCAAACTGGGGTTCATCCATAACATGAAGTACCATTTAGCAGTAAAGAGAACAAAGTATTGATGAACATAAGAAGCTGGACGAATTTCCAGAAAATTATACTGAGTGAAAAAAATAAAAACAGAGCTAGTCCCAAAAGGTTACATACTCTAGGATTCCATTTATGTAACACTCTTAAAGTGACAAAATTATAAAACTAGGGAATAGATCAGTCCCTGCCGAGGGCTTAGGGATTTGGAGGGAGGGAAAAGATGAGGGAGATGGGTGTAGATATAAAAGAGCAACACAGGAGATCCTCAGGATGACGGGAGTCTTCTGTAACTTGACTCTGGTGGTGGATGCACATTTGATAAAATACACGTAGACACACACAAAAAAATAAAAGTAAACTGCTGGGAGATCTAAGTGAGATTGGTGGACTGTAGCAATGTCAGTATCCTGGTTGTGATATTGAACTGTAGTTTTGCAAGATGCTACCATTGGAGAAAACTGAGTAAGTGGCACACAGGATCTCTCTGTGTTATTTCTTATAACTGCATGCAAATATATAATTATCTTTTTAAAAAAGATTTATTTATTTATTTGAGAGAGAGAGAGAGAACATGTATGCATGCATGTGTGCATTAGTTAGGGAAGGGGCGGAGGGAGACAGAGAATCTCAAGCAGGCTCCATGCTGAGTGCAGAGCCCTACACAGGGCTCGATCTCACAACCCTGAGATTATGACCTGAGCAGAAATCAAGAGTTATCCGCCCAACTGAATGAGCCACCCAGGTACCCTGCAAATATACAATGATCTTAAAATAAACAGTTTAATTAGAAAAATAAAAGCCTTGTAGGTTTTCTGGGAGGATCAGATGAGGTAGTATTTTGGGAAGGAAATTCATTTAACAAAAGTGTATTGAACCTCTCATTTATCCAGGCACTATGTGAATGCTAAGCTGAGAACAATAAATAAAATACACAGGGTCCATGTTCTAGTGGAAATTTTATTATACTAGAGCGCCACACAAAAGTGAGTTGTTACTTTAAAAACTTATCCTTAAAATTGGCTCAATATTGTTCACTAATTGACAAGTAGTGTTCATTGAGTACTTGGATATAATGAAAATAGACTCAGAGAGATTACAAAACTTGCCCAGGTGCCAAGTAGAGCCAGGAGCGGGATCCAGACCCAGATCTGAGCACCAGGTTGTGGCTCATCATCTCTAAACTCGTTGCCTTCAACAAAGGGGTATTGTTGTCTTTGCAGGACAACCCAGTAAAGACAGCCAAAGTGGAGTGTGGGGACTTTTACAACTCTGGAGATAGAGCAACTATGGATGAAGAGGGCTACATCTGGTTCCTGGGGAGGAACGATGACATCATCAATGCCTCTGGGTAGGTATGGCTGACCTGAGCCGGGAGGCATCACCCTCACATGCCTCATGGGATCTAGCTTGTTCTGACATTCATCCAAGCTTGGTGATGGTTAGCTCAGGCTGACTCTGAACAGAGCTCTGTCTATGGGCCCCCTTTCTGGGGATACCTGTGCACCTCCCCCAAGCCCTGCATCCAGAAAAGTCTATCAAAATGTAGTTCAAGAAGGTCTGCAAGGCGAACCATAATGAGACATTATGCAATTTAAGGGATTTGGAAGGAAGACGTTACATAGGCCCTTATTGTTGAGGAAGCTTCCTCTATGTTTGGCTCCTCTAATGGGACACAACAATCACTGAAAATTTTAATAATAGATAACAACAACATAAACCTTTATGGGGCACTTACTATGGGGATGCACACTCTGCAGTGCTTTATATAACCCAGCTCTCAGTGCTAGAAGGTAGATGCAGTTATGCCCATTTTACAGATGAAGGAACTGGGTTACTGACTAGTGAATAAAGTTCCCTAAAGTTTCAGAGTGCTGGGTACAACCCAGATTTACCAAAGCTGTCTGGCTCCAAGTCAGTTGTCCCTAAATCTTCACGTGATTTGGAAAGAAAAAAAAAAATGACACATTATACCAGAGTAACAAGTTCTCTTGGCTATTTCAGGGAAGTTGAGTGTGTTTACCTTTTAAATTTCTAAAACATGCTAATATGATGGGGAAGAGTATGCAGAATTTGCATGAATGTTTAAGATAAAGGCTGAGGCTTCTAGTAGGTTTCATGCCAAGGGAAGCTGCTTGAGCCCAGCCCCAGAGCTCGGGGAGAACTAAATATTCACCCTCCTCCCTGAGCAGAGGCAGTGAGGTGAGAAACTCTGGGGAGCATGTGAGTGTTGTATTTCTCAGCACGGAGTGCCCATTCTTCATGTTTGGGGCCCATGAGAGAGCCAGGGCACAGGTATCTGGCTTCCTGTGACAGTTATCCTATGTGACAAGGGACGAGGTGACCCTCCAAAACATGAGACTTGAGGGCTTGGGTCACCCGGCCCTGGCAGCCACTCAGAAGCCAAGAAGGAGCCCGCAGGTACCGCGTCGGGCCCGCAGAGGTGGAGAATGCCCTGGCCGAACACCCGGCTGTGGCTGAATCAGCTCTGGTGAGCAGCCTGGACCCAATTCGAAGGGAGGTGAGGAGGACACAGAGGTCATCGTGTCTGTGTGTGGGCACCAAGGCAGGTGCCGGGAAACCTTCCTCCTGGTCCTGTCTCTCCAACCTTGGACCTCGGGTGGAGGGGGGCCCCGGGGTGTGCATGTGCATTTACACTGTGTGGCCACCAGAGAGCAGTGTGGCCTCAACCATGTGGGACAGAAAATGATGCTTGTGAATGTGGCTTGCAGCTGGGGCTACTGCTGCCCGTCTCCTAATTTCTGAGCCCTTCCTACCTGCCGGCTCATTTCCCCCTCACAGCAACCTCATTAATTAAGGACTCTGAGACCCTTTTTTACAGGGAAAGAAACAAGCATAAGGAGATTAAATAAGTTGCCTGATCACAAAGCTGTCAAGTGGTGGAGCCAGAATGGGAATGTGAGCAGTCTGGCTCCAGAGCAAGCATTCATTGATTCACTGTGTGCTGAGCACCTACTCTGGACAAGGCCCTGTGCCCTGTAGACGCGACATGAATAATAGGAACGTAGTTAATCACCACCATTGATTTAATGCCCACAGAACTCTACCTATAATAATAGGGAAAATGGTGATGATAATGATAGGAATAAAAATCAGTTTAAACGAGCTTCATGGTTTATATGAATGATCTCGATGAATCTTGAGAGCCATGCCCTGAGGAATGAAGCCGTGCTGTCCCCACATCAGAGAAGGACATGGAGGCTGAGAGAGGTGAAGTAATTTTCCAAGGCAGAGAGTAGAAATTGGAAGTATGGACACTGGTCCTGTTCTTTTCCAGAGGCTCAACTGTCAACTTGTTTTTCCATTTACTTAATACACATTTACTTTTTAGACTATACACTTGGTTGCCACTCCCCCTGAGCCTCCACTCTGGTTCTGCGCTGCAGGTGGTGAAGGCATTTATTGTCCTGACTCCGGAATTCCTCTCCCATGACCGGGACCAGCTCACCAAGGAGCTACAGCAGCATGTGAAGTCAGTGCCAGCCCCGTGTAAGTACCCCAGGAAGGTGAGTGAGGGCAGAGGGATGGGGCCTGGTCCCGTCCAGTGGGCCCTGGGCTCTGCTGCCCCAAATCTCCTGGGGTGGCTGGGGTGGAGCTTACGTAGCCCATGGAATGAGCATTTTTCTCTACTGAAGAAGCATTCAACTTAGGGGTTTAGGGGAGATCCATCTTAATCATGGAAACCTCTATCCTGTGTCAGAAAACAAAAAGGCTGACAAAAAACCTACAGAAAAAAATCAGCCAAGAGCCTAGAAATATCCAAGAAGGATATTTGAAATCTTTCACAATTTGAAAAAGACATTCGGGGCACCTGGGTGGCTCAGTCGTTAAGCGTCTGCCTTCGGCTCGGGTCACGATCTCAGGGTCCTGGGATCGAGCCCCTCATCGGGCTCCCTGCTCGGCGGGAAGCCTGCTTCTCCCTCTCCCACTCCCCCTGCTTGTGTTCCCTCTCTCGTTGTGTCTCTCTCTGTCAAATAAATAAAAAGAAAATCTTTAAAAAAAGAAAAAAAAAAGACATTCAAGTCAACAACTGCCACACTTTTAAAAAACATTATTTGTAGTAAGAAATATATTCTAAATTGAAGCCCAATACATATATAGATACATAACAAACAAAAGGTAACAAAATAATATTTATTGTAGCATAAAATACATTCTGAGAGATTTTTTTTCTACCTCGTTTTCAGTGCCATGTGAGAACTATGAAAATGTCCAACAATAGAGAAATGATTAAATTATTCGTGGTAATTAATGCTGTCCTATAATTTAAAAAGATGATGCAGATCTCTTATTTGTAACATAAAAAACATCACAAAAATATATTATTAAGAGACAAAAGCAGGCTGTGAATAAATATACATGTTATCTGACTTGTTGAAAAACCACGTTTGCAAGGATACATGGGTCAAAAATTTAACGTGTCTTTCTTTTGTAATAATACATTGCTGTGCTTTCTGAGTGTTTACCCAAAGCTAGATAGCTAATATTTATTGAACATGTGTGCCGGGCGCTGGACTCAAAGCTCTACATGTGTTATTTCATTTAATCCCCCCAAACCTGAGATGGTATAACCATCCATTTGACAGAATGGAAACGGGAGAGGCTCAGAGACTCACAGTAAATTGCCTGAGGTTGGAGTGAAGAAAAGGGCAGAGCTGAACTCAAACCCAGTGTATCTGAAAACGGAGTTCGTCCTTCACATGTAAGGCTCTGCCGCCTCCTAGAGAGTAGACTGGAGGATGCAGGCCAGTTAGGATGGGCTGATGTTCCTGTGAGGAACTAGTAGCCCCTGTCTTAGTGGCTCCTACTAGGGAAGTATCTTTCTTGCTCCGGCCACATGTCCGCATGGTCTTCCTGGGACCAGGATAAAGGAGCACCCACCATAGGTAACTGCCAGGTGCTAGAAGAGATGGACAGAGTGGATGCCAGACCAGTGGTCTCAAGTGTTCTGTTCGAGGTGGCACGCCTCACTCCCACTCACATCTCACTGGTCAGAGCACATCACAGGGCTGCATCCAACTTCCCGGGTCAGGGGACACCCTGACATGCCTTGGTGGAGCCTACTGGGGCCACCACAGGGTGCCAGCCCGTCTGGGGGACTGTGCAGGGGCAGAGGAGGAGCCTGGGGCATTGGTAAGAAATGACAGCAGGACTAAGTTGGGATGGGTTTGCTTTATCCTTGACCAGATGGAATTTGTCTCAGAGCTGCCCGAAACCGTCACTGGCAAGATTAAAAGAAGTGACCTTCGGAAAAAGGAGTTTGGTCAGATGTAATCAGCAAAACCCTCAGAAACCACTGTGTCTTCTTTGCCAAATCCCTGGCTGCCTCAGTTTCCTCACTATGGGGAGGGTGAGGAGGGGAGTGTTGGACATTGATTTTAAGAGCATCAGGAGTGCTCACATTGCAGCATTTTTGTTCTTTTAAATTACTATCCATTACTCTCCTGCTTCCAAGTCCCCGAGTGAGCGCCCAGGATGTAGCTGGGGTAATAAAGGGACATGAGCATCCAAGGGGACTTGTGTTGTGCTTTGATTCTGTGAATGAACCAGAGCTAAATGCGGTCCCTCCATGATTCTCCCCAAGCCCCATTGGAGAGGACTCTGGGGCCAGATTCTCCCCCCTGGTTCCAGGGGCCCTGGGTGACTCCTGTTGTCTGTTCAACAACCACAACACAGAGGTCTGGGGAGGGACCCTTCCTTGGCCCCAGGTGTCCACCTCTGCCTGGCTTGCCCATGCCCTGCTGGAGGGTGAGGTCAGGGCCAAGCTAGTGAGGTGGCTGGGGAAGGGGGAAGGCACCGAGGGCAGCCCAGCCTGGTGGTTCCACCTGCCTGCCAGACCATTCCTCACCGCTCCATCCAGCATGCCATGGACCCGCTGCCTCTGTATGGTGCTGCTTCCAGGTCCCAGCCTGCACCAGCTTAGGTGTGGGAGGGATCTGCCCTGTGGGGACCCAGGAAACCTGCAAGACTCCTCCAGCCCTTTCCGGGGTGCCCAATCCCCCATGCCTTCCATGGAGCCCAGGAGCTCCGTTCCCCAGCCCTCCGTAGGGCCCCCCAATCACTCACCCTTCCCCAGGGCCCAGGAATCCCTCAGCCTCCCCAGGGGCCCGGAGCTCTCCCCACACTTTATGAGGTCCTCCTGCCATCTGTAGCCCGAGAGATGATGTGTGCAAAGGGCAGGGCTTAGCACAGGCCTGAAACAGGAGGGACCTCTGGTTGTCACCAGTGTTGCTTTGAACAGCTGTGAGACGTGAGGCACCGGATCTGGGAAGGCACTTGCCCCATGGAGATGATGATGCTAATGTCCACAGGTGCTCAGCACGGGGCTTCCTCTTGTCCTCAGCACAGTTATGGACACAGGCTTGGACGCCCCAGCTCCCTGAAGGAAAGCAGCCCAGGGTCACAGAGCTGGTAAGCAGCACAGCTGGATCTCACACTCTAGGCTCCCGGCCCTGTTTCCAGGGGCCACGAAGGGCTTCGTAGACAGGAGGCTGACACTGGCTTTGGGGACACTTCCTCACCTCCACGAGTGATCTCACCTGTTCGAGGCCCCCAAACTCTGTTCACTGCTTCTTCTTCCCTGCTCCCTGTTCCAGTTATAATCAGGGTGACCCCGGCCATCCTTCCTGGAATTCCCTAGTCCCCCTTATAGGCTGGGCCTATATATATATAGTCTGACTCCACCCCTTCTGTAGCTGGTCTCTCCTTCTATAACCAGGACCACCCGACTCTGGGGCTCTGGAGGCGGGCAGCAGCTTCTAAACAGAATTTAATACAAATGTTTTGCTATCCTTGTTTTGTTTTTGTTTGCGTGTCTTTTATGGCTTCTTTATATTTTATGGCTAATTATATAAATATATTTATATTTATGTTAAAGATACTGCGTTCCTATTTTAGCAGTGCTGAAATGGTTCCTGTTTACAAGAAATTTACACAGTAAGTGGTGGTTTGTAGAGCATTGATTTTCAGCTGCCTTGGGCCTGAATGAGTTGGGATTAACTCACAATTAGATAACACTAATTGTGTTAGTCCTAGAGAGAAACAGTTTAGGAGGTTCGGCTCAGGACAGGGCCCAAGAGAGATGATCACAGGGGGTTTGTCCAGTCACCTGGGTCCCTGGCCCTGCCCACCTGCTTGGCTCTCCCCGTCCAGCACACCTGGGGCTGCCAGCTCTCTGGGTGTTGTCTTGGATCCCCCAGGAGAGAAGCTGGTGAATGTTTTCTCTTAAAATGCTCTCATTCCTGGAGGTCCCAAGAGATCCCATGAGAGTCAGCTTGGATTGTTTCCCCTGTGAGGTTCATATCGTAAAGCCCAAGCTAGTGGGTAGCAGGGTCACATAGATAAGCGACAGATCTACCGCTGTTGGAGGTGTTCAAATGTCTCCGTCAATTAGGGATGATTTTGAGGCCATTCGGTCTTCTCATACTAATATCCCAGGATATACCAGCCCAGAAGACATATCTGATTACAATTTTGTCATGCTTATTTCATTCGGTTCCAATGTAGCTTTTTCTTTGGGATTTCTTTACTCCTATTTTATTTGTAGAGGTACTTCTCAATTTCTAAACATATGGGAATTTCTAGTGAGCTTTTTATCCATGATTTCTAGCACATTATATTACCACAACATGCTCTGTGTGATTTCATGCCTCTGAAACATATTGAAATGTCCCTTATGACCAAAATAGATCGGGTGCATTTTTGTAAGTGTATCCTATATGCCTAAAGTTAATGTGTCCTCCACAGTGGTCTATGGATGTGGACAGACATACGGAGATAGCTGTGGGATTCAGATGGTTTGCTCTCAAGGTCTACATGTTATGGATGTTCTGTCTGCTTTGAGTCACTGAGAGAGGGTTGAAACCTCCCACTCTGCTTGTGTATTTGCTTGTTGTTGCAGTTCTGTCCTCCTTTGCTTTATATGTTGTTCAGCCAATGGCTCTAGGATGGGAGTTCTGGAAGGAAGGAGATAGCGCCCAGAAGAGGGCAACAGGGACCTGGGTTGGGAGGCAGCAGAAACAAGAAGGATGGCCAAAGTTCCAGAGAGGACCTGTTATTGGGATGGCACGTGGTGGGGCGCCAGTTGGGAAGGGGCTCTTTAAATATGAGGTCACGCGGGGTGCCCATTATGACCTACCAGGGGCAAAGGCAGATGATTGGCTGAGAGAGAGTATAAAGCCTCTGGGTTGCTAAGGAATGGTTCAACCAGGGGAAGGCTTGGAGAAAAGTGTATCCTCCTCCAATCCCTTCACCTGCTACTGTTTCCTGCTGACCTAGTGATTTACTAACCTGCTGACCTACTACCCTTTCTGAACCTCCCCTCGAGTACTTACTCTGACCCTGACACCGTCGCTGACCCCTTCTTCTCCTGACAAACGCCTTCCCCAATCCCACCCTTTATTTCTACCCTGCTCCCAACCCTCATTAAAACCCTATCCCCTTCCCACCCCTTCCCACCCCTCCCTACCCCACCCACCCCTACCTCCACTCCACCCCCCATCTCCACCTCCTCCCTGACGCCCCAGCACCCCTTGAAAGGACCAAGACATGAAGGTGCAGAGGCTGTTGTTCCTGGTGCTCTTGCTGCGGTGTCCCGGTTCCCCAAACCCAAATGTGAGTAAACATGGCACTTCACTGGCATCTTCACAGGTGTGGGGGGAAGGGCAGAGGGGGAGGGAGAGAGAGAATCCCAAGCCAGCTGTGCAGTGAGTCCAGAGCCTGAAGAGGGGCTCATCCTCAGGACCATGAGACCATGACTTGATCCAAACCAAGACGTCGTCACTGAACGGCCTGAGCCCCCCGGTGACTCAAAGCTGCTAGTGGTGTCTTCATTCCTACTGGGTTCTTTCACATGGTGGTCAAATAATAGTTTTTTCATGGGGTTGTTGGTGAGAACTTCAGAAGAACTGCAGTTCTTCCTGAAGACCGAGGACCACAGGGCAGGTTTCTCGGTCAGCCTGAAGGGGCTGTGGCCACAGCCGTCCACATCAAGTTCTGGGTCCTGTCTGTGCTGCTTGGTCCAAAAAGAGCAGCTCTGGCAGGATGGAAACCTGCAAATACTAGGGTAATGGTGGCAAGAAGGAAGGATTTGAGAAGATATGAAAAGCCATTGAGCTCTTTGTCTTAAATAGGGGGCTTGTATGATATGTACATTATATCTCATTAAAATTGTCTTTTAAAATGTCGGGAATGCTAATTTATAGGAGCTACGGGCATTAGACTGGCTCCTGGAAGCCCAGTGAAGATCCTGCTTCAAGCCTTGTATGTTTAGGGTCCATCTTCTACATTGATTTCATGTCAGCACATTGTTCATATTTGTGAAGTTTGGCAGCCCTGGGAACAGTGGTATCTTAAGCATTGGTGTTGGGTCTTGAGTGTTAAACAGTGAAATGTCCTTTGTGCTCTGTGCTTCCTGGTTGGTTGACTTGTAACAACTTCGGAGTCAGCCCTTTCCTCCTGGCCTTGGAGGCTGTCCCCAGGGACTCTGTGTCCCACCAGGTCCGTGGGAGCCCTGAGAAGCCCAGCAGACACTAAGTGACCGCATCTCGCTGGGACGTTTGTCACAGGAAAATCTGATGGATTGATGTAATCAGGAAGTGAATGAGTTGTTACCCTTTCTTTGGCCCAGTGTGTACAGAGTGTTGATTTCCCCAAAGTCAAAAGCTCCTGAATGTCCTTAGGATTGTCCAAATATAAAGAAATACCTGGTTCCTAGTGTGACTATTTCACTCCTTAAAAAAGAAAACCCTTACCCTCAGGAGAGAGAGACAGACAGGGAACACTCTAGAAATAAGCAGACTTCTTTAGATCGGCCTACACCAGATTCTTAGAGAGGGATTTGCAAAGTGGGAGTAGTCAGGAAGGACCCTAGTGTTGAGGCAGAATCATCCCACATGAATACCTCCAGTCAAAATAGACTCGATTCTGTTTCTTTTGAGTCTTCAATGGAGGGAATTTCTTCGTAGTCTTTATTGGAAATATTCCCCTCTGCCTAGGCTGCATCTCATAGAGCACTTCGCCTTTCTCACCCTCCCTCATCTCTGAGCTCTTGCATAAACTACCTGGTCTCGCATTTCCCTCCTCCACCTGCTCATGGCCATTGTCTGTTAGAACCTAGTGTTATTGGCCCCATTGGATGTCATCTAGTTAAGAGTCAGCTACTGGTCAGCATCCAGACAGCTGCTAGATGTACCACGTGGCCACAACTGGGGGTGTTTTCCATTTGTGACAAGATGGCCTCTGTCTTTTGTGCATTTGATCCCCATGATCAACCATTGAGCAGATAGCTAATGTTCTCTTTCAGACAGCGGCTGTTCCAAGACCGTGTATGTTTCCCACCAGCACACATGTTTGTGACCTCAGCTGTGAGGGTTGAGGATGAAAATGTTATAGATTTCAGGGGTACTTTCTAGAGAGTTGTGTTTGCACAAAATTCAAGCTTGGTGTGAATTAGTAGGAATTGCATTGTGAGCGTCTTGTCTCCTAAAATACTTGGAACTCCAGTTTTTGTAAAATGAGATGTGTTCTTTGTTTTGGTGTCCATATCCAGGAATTTTGTATTCTTTTAGAAATGAAATTTCATGGTCACCTGGGTGGCTCAGTCAGTTGAGCTTCTGCCTTAGCCTTGGGTCATGATCCCAGGGTCCTGGGATTGAGCCCTGCTTGGGCTCCCTGCTCAGCCGGCAGTCTTCTTTTCTGTCTCCCTCTACCCCTTCCCCTGCTCATGCTCTCTCTCTCTTTCACATAAGTAAATAAAATCTTTTTAAAAATCAAATTTTAGAGTTGCTCTTGACTGATTTAGTTACAATACTGAGAAATAGGAACATGAATGCCTTTCATTGGCTTTTGGAGATAGGTGTTCAAGTAATTTAAAATGTCACAGATACCATCAAAATAAACAAGATCACCTGATTATGAAAATCTTTATGTACCCCTGAAATCTGACATTTTGGGCTGTGATTCTGAAGCAAAGTGGGCATTGAAAGAAAACATCACTGTTTTCAGAAACTAAACAGTAATTCGAATTTATTTTTGTTGAAATAATAATCCCATATTCTTCTAATAGAAGCCTCCTGTCTCTCTCTCACTCATGTCCTGATCTATAAACATCTGTCCATAGAACATTCTCATTTATATCTCTAGTACATTTTTTAGTCTTGCTTTTTCTCATTCTTCCATAAATTTTGGGCCTATTTTTGGAAAGGTTCCAGAGGAGTTTATCCAGGTCCTTCATGGATGTACAATAGAAGTCAGTGACTTCTTACCTACTGTAAGTTTACATTTACTTATCTTGTCTATTTTATGTTGGCTTATAAATTCTTAAGTTCTGTTAGCTATAGAAAATTTATTTGCCATGTGTTTGTAGGCAAAATAAAATCTCTTAAGATTTGTCTATTAGATTTTTCCTACAGCTTCAGTGTTATATAATGTATATATGATCACAACATCTTTTTCAAGAATACAGTTTGTTGATAGTTGACATAGGTAAACACAGGGAAACCCATCAGCACAGTACGATAGTAAACACACTCATCACTCCCAAAAGTTTGCCCCTGTTCCTTTGTAATCCCTCTGTGCTCCTTCTCCTCCATGGGGAGGCAGTTGAGAGGTGTGCTTACCTGGGGGAGGCTGGTGGAGGGTTTGTAAAGTTGATTGTTTGGGACAGAGACATTGTAAATCTTTGAGATTCCTCATTGTCTCACGTGTTATTTCAGCTTGTCCATGTTGTGCCTGACCGTTTCCTTCTTGGCCCTGATGGGGTTGGAGTTCTATGGAAACTTCCCATTATCACTGCCCCCTTGGGAGTTTGTGTCTTTCTCATTTATATCTGGAGAACCATCCTCGCTGTAAGTATACTAAAGTAGCTTATATATACTGTTCTTCATAAATGAGCAGAAAATTTTATAGTTATTGGACCTTTTATATCCATTCAGTAATAGAAATATCCCTCTAATACATCAATTTTGATGATCACCTAGATTGAAATAGATTTAAATTTGTGTTGCAGTGCCTTCTGTGATCCATATGTTCTTTTTTTTTTTTTTTTAAGTTCAAGCATAATTGGCCAACAGTGTAGTATTAGTTTCAGGTGTACAACATGATTCAGCAATTCTATACATTTCTCAGTGCTCATCACAATAAGTGTACTCTTAATCCCCTTCACCTCTTTCATCCATCCCTCCACCCACCTGCCCTCCAACCCATGTGTTCTTTAGAAGTGTGTTGTTTAATCTCCATTTTTTGGTCATTCTCTAGCTATCTTTCAGTACTTGGTGTCTAGTTTGAGTCATTTGTGGTCTGAGAACATACGTCCTGTGATTTCTTTTCCTTTGGTCGTTCAGATGTATCTTATGGCCCAGAATATGGCCTCTCTTAGTGAATGTTCCATGGGAACTTGAGAAGAATGTCTTTAGTTTGGTTGTTGAATGGATTATTCTGCAGATGTTAATGGATCCAGTTGATTGGTGATGCTTTTCAGTTCACCTGTATTCTCATGGAATTTCTGTATCTGTTGGATCTGTCAATGACTGATAGAGGGTTCTGAATTCCCCAGCTATAATAGGGATTCATCTGTTTCCATCAGCAATTCTTTCAGTTTCTGCCTGATGTACTTCGACACTCTGTTGTTAATGCATGTACATGAGAAATTATTATGTCTTTTGGAGGATTGACACCTTTACCGTTGAAGTAATGCCCATCATTATCCCCGACGGTTTTCCTTACTCTGTAGTGTGTTTTGAAGGATCATTTCACTGGCCACAGGTTTCTCGTTGGATGTTTCTGTTAACACTTTAAACATTTCATCCTTCTTGATGGCAAGGTTTCGGAAGTGTGATGTAGTCCTTATCCTTATTCCTCTTGGGTAAGGGTTACTGCTCTCCTTCCCCCTTCCACCACCCACACCCAAGCCCTGCTCCAGATTTCCAGACTTGTTTCTTTGTCTTTAATCACCTGTGACTGAACATTCTGGATTAGGCATCATTGGCGTTAGTTGTTGGTGTGTTTGTTTTGGAATTTATCCTGCTTTCCTTGTTTTGAGCTTCCTGGATCTGTGGTTTGGTGGCTATATTAATTTAGGAAAATCCTCAGTCATTATTGCTTCAACTACCTCTCTGTCCATTCTCCTGCTGCTCCTATTCTGTGTGTGTTACACGATTTGTAATTGTCCCACTGGTCTTGGATTTTCTGTGCTGTCTTTTTAATATTTGTCTTTGTTTTTCTTTTGGGAAGTTTCTACCGGAAATTCTTTAGGCACAATGATTCTTTCCTCTGGTATGTTGAGTCTCTTAATGAACCCATCAAAGGCATTCTTGATTTCTGTTATGGTATTGTCCAGAATCCCGGTAAAATCTTAGAGTTTCATATCTCTGCTTACATTCATCACCTCTTCTTCCTACTGCCCCCTTTTTGCTTAGATCCAATATCAGGTATGGAAGGGACTTGAAATTCCCAACCTGCCAATGCCATCATCTCTGCCTTAGATGCCTTAGGTAGTGTGATTCTAGTGCTTGCTGTCGTGGTTTTTACCCTTAGTATGCCTTGTACGGTTGTGTTGAAAGCTAGATCTCCTGTTCTGGTAAAGGAACTGAGGTAAATAGGATGTGAGGGTGAGGTTGTCTACTCATCTGTCTGGGGTTAGACTGAGTTTACTCCCAGGTGAGACAGGGAGGCGATTGCATTGGAGTTGAGACTTTCCCCCTCACCTCTATTGCGTAGTCTTTGGGAAAGGCCCAGTTAGGCTCTGGGGACATAGTTTCACTTGAAGGCAGACCTTTCTAAGAAGAACAGAAAACTTCTGAGTTTATTTCTAAATGGAATCTCCCCCCTCTCCCTGCCAATGGAGAAACCTTCCCTTCAAAAGGAACACAAGTATGTGCTATGGTGAGCGCTGTGAATTGGGCAAGACTGTTGAATCACAGATCTGTACCTCTGAAACAAATAATGCAATATATGTTAAGAAAAAAAGAAGAAGAAGATAGCAGGAGGGGAAGAATGAAGGGGGGGGGAATCGGAGGGGGAGATGAACCATGAGAGATGATGATGGACTCTGAAAAACAAACTGAGGGTTCTAGGGGGGAGGGGTGTGGGAGGATGGGTTAGCCAGGTGATGGGTTAAAGAGGGCACGTTCTGCATGGAGCACTGGGTGTTATGCAGAATGAGTCATAGGTCACTACATCAAAAACTAATGATGTAATGTATGGTGATTAACATAACAATAAAAAATTTTTAAAAAAAGGAAAACAAAACTATGACGTCTTTGGTGTGCTCATCTGTCTCTTCACTTCCCCTTCCTGTGGGGCTCGGTGACAAGGGCCAGAGCAACTCAGAGATTCCTAAGCAACATGTGAAGTTACAGGAATCACCATGGTTTTCTGTTTGCCCTCCACTGATGGACTTTCCTCTAACAACGTTATTATGACTGGCTTGTTGATAGCATGGTGATATTCCAATATCCTGGCAAGATTTGGGGGCGGGCCTCAGCCTCTCCTCATCCTGTAAAACTTTTGAACGGGGAAATATGTTAATGGTTTCAAAATGGGGTCTTGCCTAGAGTTTACTAAGCTATAATTTATCAGGGTGACTCGATCTGGATAGCCCGGTTCCCCTCTTTTGAAACATCCGCTGTCATTTCTCTTGTTGCTTATGCTTCGTCTCTCGCCACGTGCCACTCTTTTTCTCATTCGATGGCTTTTCTGTCTTTTTGATGACCCTCTGTAGCAGTCTGGGAAACTTCATAGCACCTGATGTGCCATAACTGTGTGTGAATTCAGCAAACAGCCAACCCTTAGTAATAGTTCAGAGAAGCTTTTTGGACAAGGAAAATGGCATAATTTTGTCAGAGCTTTGCTCACCTGCCAGCCTTCCTTCCTACATTCCTTCCTCCCTTCCTTCCATTTTCTTTCTTTCAGGATCTTATAATAATCCATTTCTGAACTCAGTGTGCATATCGGGTTGCATTAAAGTTACGGAAATGATGAATTAATGAATATTTTTTTAAATGTCTGCATGGTCCGCTGTCAAGAATTGAACAGGTTGAACGTTCATTTCACAGTATGTGAATAGATTTTGGGGTCAAAACTAAGTTATATACCTTTGTGCTCCTTATCAGAAATGGATTGTGAACTATGATGACTTAATCAGGAAATTCCAATTTTGTCTTCTTTTTTAATCCTGTGAAGTCATTCTGCTATACAAAATGATGATTGTAATTTTCTTGGATGACTGTTTCGGTATTGACCTGAACTAGAGATTTTTCCTAGTAGTACGTTTTGACATCAAACTTCATTTTGTTTCTTCCTCTCTTAGATAAAGCCTCGGCGATATGAAGGTAAGTTTTTTGGCTTTAGTTTTCATTGTCGTAAATTCTCAGTACCGGTGTTTGATGTGGGTATAATTCGACTAGGGGTAAATATGGTGACTTCTGATGTCTAAGTGACTTGTTAACTCCTGAAAATCATTCTCTTTCCCATGTGGAGTCTAAGTGACAATGTGGAGGGTGTTGCCATCTCTTAGGAGACCAGGAGGAGGTATACTTCATGGGAGTAGGGAGAATAGAAAGAGTAATTTTGCAGAGACATGTTTAGGAGGCATGCGATGATAGGAGCCTGAGGTCTGGAGTGAGTACTATGCCATGACCTGGCTCTTGGCGAAATGTCAAGATGAGAAAACACTCTTTGAGTCTAACAAGCAGGCTACACTTAGAGAAGGAGCCACATATTGCCAGACAGAGCGTGTGTCACAAGAGAGGTTTAAACCATGGTTTTGAGTCTGAAGTGGAGGGAGCCTTTCCTGCCAGGGGAGAATGAGTGGAAAGGAACGTGTGCCAGTGGGGCTGATGTATCGTGTCGGGCCTCATGGATTGTGATGATTCCACGGTGCTGTCTGTTGACGGCCAGGGTGGCTGCCTGGCACATAGCAAACCCTCGAATGCTGGTGTTCGTCCCTGTGAGTGCAGCAGTGGGCGTGGTGAGAAGAGAGATCTCAGGGCAGGAGAGCGCTCACATTGGGCCACTAGAAGAGAAGTTTGCACTTTGAGGTAAGATGAGAGAATTATTATTTTTTAAAAGATTCTGTTTATTCATCTGACAGAGAGAGCACAAGCAGACCGAGTGGCTGGCAGAGGGAGGGGGAGAAGCATGCACCCCACTGAGTGCAGACCCAGATGTGGGACCCCAGGGCCCAGAGTGGAATCATGACCCGATGTGGGATCGTGACCCAAGCTGAAGGCAGACACTTAACCGACTGAGCCACGCAGGTACCCCAAGATGAGAGAATTAGGAGCCAGTTAGAGGAGTCTGTGTTCTCGACCTTCGATGTGTTATCCATCTGTGATAGGGCGCTTCATGAGTGTGGTTTTCCTGTCAGGGTAGAGGGTAACCTTCTCATGTTGGGATGAGAAAAGCTTGTGTTCCAGGGAGTGTGAGTTATCCAGGCCCTCCAGAGACTGTAACGTGGAGTTTGTACCCGAGTGTGTTTGATTCCAAAGGTCTTGTCCTCCAGAGCCCCTGCCTAGGGTTCATGACAGGCAATCTGTGAGCAGCAGAAAGTCACTGAAGGCCTTGGAGTTGTCACTCAATTGCCATTTTGAGCTTTCCTTGTGTGGAATTCCAAGGAGGATCTGGAAACGGACATGGCGCTGAGCAGGAGCAAAGGATGGTTTTGTTCATTTTGGGTTGTTGGCAGGGACCTATTTTTGTACCTTAATCATTGGAGGAGAGAAATGTTAGTTGACAGGATGCTTGATTTTTCTGTTACATATCTGGGGATGACATCAGCATTTGCAGTGATTGCATTTTCCAAGACTGGTGCTTACAGATGGGAGTAAACGTAGAAGACATTTGAGGGCGTTTCTCTATCTTTGAAAAAAATTTAAGTAGGAATCTCCCCAAAATAGGTTGTCTTGGGTTTCAAATGCTGCTAAAACTTGCTTCCTTAGGGCACAATGGGAATGCTAACAAGTTAGTTACACCCGAGTGTCAGAGAATGTGTCTCTGGTGCTCATACACTGGGATTATTCAATGTCACTCGTTTTGCTAATTATCTTTGCGATTCTTTTTTCTCCTTTTAGTAACCTTACAACAAATAAATGAGAAGATCCATCGACTTAGGACAGAAAACAGGGAGCTTGCTCAGGAAATATCCCTTTGGGAGCTGAAGGTATCAGTGCCTTTTCAAATACTTTTTGTGATTTCATTTTGGTTACTTCCACCTCTTGTAGTTCATCCTATTGACCTATTTCATGTGATCCAGAAATGGTCCTGATTCAAGAGAAGCTTCACGAATGTAGAGCACTGCCTCTCTATTTTGAAAGGAGTCACACATTAGTAGATAGGTTTGTGTAACACGATGCTATTTTGGAATTCTGTTTCCTTTTTTCATATGTTTTATAGATCCGGGAAGGCAAGAAGCATGTTGCAGAAACTAAGAGTGAACATAAGTTTCTCTCTGAGGAAGTTCTTAAATTGAAGGTAAGAATCCCTTCTTTGCCTGAATTGTGTCCTAACAACAGAAATAAAAGTAATGAATTATCATCATTATCATTATCACTATTATTATTTTAAACATTGATTGATTGATTTGAGAGAGAGAGAAAGAGTGAGTGGTAGGGGACAGAAGGAGAGAGAGAATCCCAAGCTGACTCCATGCTGAGTGTGTAGCCTGATGCAGGGGTCCATCCCAGAACCCTGAGATCAGGCCTTGAGCCAAAACGAAAGCAGGAGTCAGACACTCCACCGACTGTGCCACCCAGATGCCACCCTGGTGCCCCAAGGAATGAATTATTATTACTCATTCAAAATGTTTTGTTGAAGGAGAACATCGAAAAGGTTGACGAAGTTAATGAAAATTTAAATGACACCCTTCGTTGGGCACTGGCTCACTTGCAAATTGAGAGAGAGAAGAAGGTCAAGAATCAGGATGTGGTAAGAGCTGGCTGTTGAGTTTTACCTTAATGTGGCCCCGGCAGGCTTTTGGTTCACTGGGTGAGATGAGTGCAGCATCCTCGCTTGCTGTTTAGCACAGTAGAGAGTGGGCCTCTGGGAACTGAAACTCCTACGGAGCAGTGAGCTGGGATTTCACTTAGAACCACCGTGATGGGGTTTGCTCTTATAAGGACTAGGAAGTATGGTTGATTTCACAGCGAGGTAATGATCACATCATTCAGCCCTGCCCTCCAAGATATGTAGAAAATCCCCACAAGACACTTGAGCGATGAAGGGCGATGGCTGACCCAACTGTGCAGTCCCTTCGTCTCTTAATGCCAAACAGAGCATTTTCAATGTGAATAGGGGAAGATGTGTATATATGTGTGTATGTGGATATATATATGAAGGAAAGCCACTAAGAAAGTCATTTGTGAGTTCTTTGACGTGAACTATTTTCCACTTTGCTTACTTCCTCCTTGTTCCATTATGCCTTAAGGGCTTTCTTTGTTGCACTGCATGATCCTGTGCAGGAGGAGGGTGTCAGACACCCTCACGTTGTTCTGTGATCATGATTTCCTGAATGTCTTTTCTCATATCTGTCTTGAAGGCCCAAGATGCATTCGAGGATGGAGAGCAGAGAGCCTTTAGGGCCAAAAAACGAGAACTGCAGGGTATGTTCTTTTGGGGGAAGAAATCCGCATATGGTGGCAATGAGCTTGCATTGGGAAGGGAAGGAATGCCTTCCTGCCTTCAAGGTCTTGCCCTTCTCCTTTCCCTATCAAACCGAAGTTCTCCGGTCATGTGCACATACACACACAAAAGAAAACTCATCCTTTCCAGAATGTCGACGATTGTTGGAAGACCATTGCAATGCCCTGAGTTCTTTGAAAACAACTCAAGAAGCCGAACTGAAAATGCTGAGGAGGAAAGTGGATATCGTGGTGGATTTCTCTAAACAAAGACAAGCGGCTGCCGAAGAGTAAGCTATTCTTGTGTGAATTGTCACCAATACTATTGTATGAATTTAGGTGACGGCCAGTCTAGATAAGTGTATTTCTTTTAGAATTGGATCTAGAGTATTTTTGCCAAATGCATTCTGTAGAATTGTGCCTGCCCTTGCTGCCTTGATGTGTGTGACCTGCATTTCCCTTTGTGTTCTGACTGCTTGTCACGCTTGTTGTGTGACTCCTTGGAGTAGAAGAGGGAAGGTACCCTCCTTAAAACCTTTGATACCTGGATCCCCTCTGGGTCTGTCTGCCTTGTCCTTTTGGTTTCCGTGTCATCACATGTTCTTATTAGCCCTGAATTCAGTCACTTTTGGTTCAGTACGAGCCTTGGGTCAATAATGGGGATAGAAAAATGGAATTGTCTTGCTGCGGAAACACTGGGAGTCTCCTTGTGGAAAGTGGGTTGGGGCTCCAGCAGTCCTGGATGCCTTCATCCAGTATACAACTGACATCACTCACTGTCGCCCAGTCCCTAAGAAGGCCAGGGTATTTCCCATCCACCGGATTTTTTTAGGTGTAACTCTCCTGGGTCCCAGCCAAAGCCTGCGGGTTCACTAGGGCTCACCTTGGCTGGCTGACCCTGAACTTCACTCGTTTCCTTCTAAGCCCATGCCCATAAAGTTGTTCAGCTTCTTTACAGTTCACTTGCCTGTTCCAGAATGTATTGATGTGTCCTGGGGAGATTGGCTCCCACTGCCAGGCTGGCTTTCTCCTAGGCTTCCTTCTTCTCCATCTGGTTCTCGTGTTTCTTCATGTACTCTTTAGAAATTGGGTGCATTCCCTCACGAGTTTGCTCTTTTGTCCAGTGTTTCCTTTCTTTTCTCAGGAGGAGATCAGGACCTTAGAGTCCCTCATTCACGTTGAAAAGCAAAACTGTTCCCTGTCTTCCCTGGAGACTCAGCTTTGTGTTATTCCTTCCCACAGCGGGGATGGGGGCTGCTCTGTGTCACTGGCATCTTGGTTCAGTTCATTGGAAATTTCTTTTGGGGGTGGGTACAGTGTCCTGACCACCTTTCTGTCTTCTACACCTTCCAACTGAGCCACTCCATTACAGCCGCTCCAGAAAGCATTTGCTGAAGGATTGCCTGAGAGACCAGAAGCAAATGCATGTGTCTTTCTCTGTCGGGAGCTTTTGACTCAGTTTCTAAGAGTCTTTTGGCATGTGATCTTGAGGAAATGAGGTGTCCTCTTGAAACCCTTTAAATCAACACCATGAGCAAAAGAGTCTGAGGGCAGCACAGCAAAGCAGCCTTTTTAAGCATCGCACGTTGCTGCCTTCACTATCAGTGAACTCAGTCTTGTTAAAGTCGGTTGACTCCATGCAATTGATAGTTTTCCATCTGAAATCTGTTGCGTGGAGATAACACACTGGCTATGTGACAGTTCACAGCCTTTTGCGCTTCAGGACATATTGCTGGTACTAAGATTGGCCTCTTCAAAGGAGGAGGCAGGGGTTGTAGTTGTAGACCCAGAGATGTCTGGGAGTGAGTTGCCATGCTGATGAAGCCATATTCTGGAAGGCTTCCTTTTGGGTTCATTTTGTCAGGCACAGCCTTGGTCTGAGGATCAGGGCTCCCCATGGAGGTGTACGACTAACGATGGTCCCCTGCTTCATCCTATAGTTGGTCAGGCTTGGTTTTTCACTTTGAACTGAAAGGAGCCTTCACCGTCTCCGACAAAAGACCAACTCTGAGAGGACACAAGCTGCAATGTTACTTGAGGAGTTGATAATGAAGTAGAGAAGTGTAAAGACAGCTCCGATTGCAAGGGACTTGGCAGCATCCAGAGTCTGATTTTTCTTTAACCCTAAATGGGACCTTCAGTTCATTTCCCTCCTTGTGTTGTCAGTCTGTGCATTTATGAGGGACATTGGAATCTAGGCCATCCAGTGTGCTGGGAGGAATGACGGCAGAACTTCTGGATCTTGGCTACTGGACCATGTCTATACCTTTCCTGTCTTAGGAAGGTTGCAAAGACCCGCTGTGACCTGGAGGCAACAGAGAGTCAGCTGTCCGCTGCCATGGAAAATCTGAAAGGAATCACAGAAGCAACGGACAAGTACAAGTGAGTTCAGACACTGAATATTAGCGGCTCCTGAAATCCCTGTTCACTTTGTATTTTTAACTTTTCTTCATTGTTTAGACTCAATTCACATGTAATATAAACAAAAATTCAGAGGCATATCCGGAGAGAATTAACAGACACAAAAAGTTAAGCTCTAGAAAGAACAAAGCAATTTCATTACTAAACATGTCCTGATCCCCAGCGCTGGCCTGATTCTGTGGAGCCTTCTTCCACGCCATCGTCCCTGGGGGTGGTGTCAGTTGTCCTAATCTGGAGGAAAGCAGTTTGTCGTAGGATGCATCCTACCCATAAGCCCGGCAGGGCCATCTGATGGCGCTGGTCTTTGCCGCCCTGGGAGCCATGGCGAGGATAGAAGTTGCCCAGCACACTTGATGGCACCCTTGTCACGTGATAAATTAGGGCGAGATTGAAAATGGGTAAGGAAATTATGTCAACTCTGCACCCTGCAGGGGAAGAAAAATGATTACGGAAAAGAGGTAACAATAGCTTTGATCCTACTGTACATTATAACCATGTGAAAAGTGTTTCCTGTGTGAGGATCAATTGTATGAGGGGACAGATAAGAGGAGAATGGCCACGTGGGCAGATGATTTAAAATCACAGCCAATATTGGGTGTTATCTGACGAGAGCACTTATAACTCACAGGCAAGAAATTGGAGAGATGCAAGATCAGCTGCAGGAGGCAGAGCTCACCTTCCAACACAAGGTAACCTGAGTTGTGCCCCAACCTCCTGGCCCCTTAGCGCCTCCTGCAGGTGATGGAAGTGGCCCTTCGATCCCCCAACATGGGCTCTTGGTGTGTTGACTTTTTCAGATCGCAGCTCATGAGAGAAGTGCTCTAGATAATTGGGTAAGTGTTTTCTTTTTCCTCCTCTTCGTTTGGGGCCCAGTCCGGCACAGCTGAAGGTGGATGTGTTTTTCTCCCCCAGATCAAGGCTCAGGTTTGGGAGAGGAAGATAGTGCAGCAGAGGAGGGAGAACGCCTATGTGAAACACAGGTGTGTGATTTTGACGTGCCTTTTTCTGGGCGTCTTGAGGGGTCAAGGCTAAGCTGTTTAGTGTCTAGTAGAGGACATGGTGGTGTCATTCTTATAGACGTCCATTCTTTTTCTGTCTTCAAGACTGCACATGATGAGGAGAGAGATGCTGCCTGAGGGATCCATGAGGCAGGAACCGATGCCGGGAAGACCTGAGACACAGAACCGTGTGCAGAGAGGTAGGGAGCGTGCTGTGAAATGCAGCAGCCTGATCTCTGCTGGGAGAGCACATGGTGTCCTTCCCGTTCCTGTGGGTGATCACTGTGTGTCCTGGAGAGAATCACAAGCACTACCTAAGGACAGCAGGTTGTCTGAAGGGGTGACAGGAGGGTGCTTTCCTCAGGTGCCCACCGGCCGCAGGGCACCTGTCCCTGTGACAGGTGGAGCTCATGCCCCTCCCGTGACTGCAGACCCTCCCACCTCCTCTACCACCCACCTACTGAAGAGCTGAGCCTGGAGGAGTTGTGGGCCCGAGCTCCCTTCCCACCTTGATGCAATGGTGAAGACTTTTTGGAAAAAAAGAAATGGAGAAAAATGGCATTTATTTACTCTTTATGGAGGTTCCTTGATTTTTGTTTTATTCGTCATCTACAGTCCTATATTAATCCATGAAATTCATGCATTTTACTCCTCTAATGTTATCGGTATAAAGCCACAGCTTTACTTCTCAATCTGCCTATTTTTACTTTGCTCCTGGCTGTACGATTAGTGTACTCCCCAATTCTTCTCTTCAATATTTATGTAATAGCCAGCCACACATGCTAGGCCTCATCTATAGACTGAAGGATTGAACCATCAACTGGCGGCCTGAGAAGAGAATGCATGCCGTTCATGTTGAGGGTTTATCCATTTTTAGCTGGTTGAGCCCAGAGCAGTCTACTGCTGTCCCCTTAGCTATGAAAACACCTGAAGCAAGCTGGGCGATGGTGGTCCCATCCTCGAGGGGGAGAGGCAGAGGTCTCCCCCTTGTCCTCAGGGGTCAGCAGAGACCTTTGAGAAATGCTGTGTGTCTGAGAAGGGACCCAAGAGTGGGACAGAGGGCAACGTGTTAGGGGCGGGTTTGGAGGGTTGGTTTGATTTCTGCACAGTCAGTGCTGGTCTGAATCCACCTCCATCTGTTCTAGGGCTTTGGTCTGATGCTGAAACTGGTGGGTCTCCCATGGGGAACAGGGGCACCGAGCCTCACAGAGACCCAGGGATGAGCAAGGTAACTACTGTGGCCTCTACCAGGTGTTCCGGAAACTTTTCCCTTTCTGAGCAGCACCCTGTCCTGGCCTTGTGTCTGTTGGGTGGGTTAGGGTTTGTCTGTGGTGTCGTTCACCTTTCAAAATACAAGCAGTTCACCCGGGGGCTGACAGGCTTCTCCATTACAGATCCTCACCTTCGGTGGCACCTCCTGAAGCCACGGGTGCTTAGAGGTGAAGGATGGCAGGGCGCTCACTGTGTGTGCGTGTGTGCTTGTGTGTGTGAGTGTGTGCGTGCGTGTGTGTGTTTGTGTCCATCCGTCCACCCCTGCCCACGCACAATGCCTGTGGGGGAAAGTAGCTCGAGGAGGATGACACGTCACTCCACAGTGAAGTCTCTGGCCGGCCTGACTGCCAGTCAGTAGGTTCCGATCAGGTGCGATTGGTGTAGTGTTCATGTTGGGGTTCGATGATTTACCTGTGCCAAGGTCTGGGGTAATCCTCACAACTGGAAACTAGGGGAAACTCTCTCTCCATTTTCTATTGTCTGTTTTGCAGTTTGGAATGTTCTTAGATAGGGCAAGTTTCATAAGTCATCCCTGTTTTCCTTCTGCTGGTACAAATGCTGTACAGAATCCCTCTACTTGTACCCTTTCAACGACTGTTGTGAATTTCCAAAGTGGGGGGTGTCCTGGCACACACATTCTGAAGCGGGGATGTCGGTGATTAGCTGCATGACCCGGGCCTCACAAGCCCTGCAGTTGGGCTTCTAGGAGCAGGTCCTTTTGGTCTTAGGTCACTGTGAGAGCTGGTTTCTTCTCTCATCACACGCTCTGGAGTTGTCCGTCAGAAAGCATACACATTTTTGTGAATTCTCAAAATTCACAAAAGTTAGCCTTAGTTAGCCTTCCCATCTTAATTTCCCACTGGACAAAATTGCTCTGGAACTCAGTGTGCGGAAAATTCCAATGACTGTGTTTTAAGATAAACACAGCCGCTGCACGTAAATAAGGGCTATTGGTATCATGTTCCTCTCAGAAAACCCTCTTCCAGGTCCCCTATCAGACCACAGGCCCCTAAATCCTCAAGGGTCTTTGTGGCCTGGACAGAAACTGCAGAGAGTAGAAGACCGCTTTGTCAGGAAGTGAGGCAGGTGGGGACAGTCAGGGGCTTTGCAGGCAAGGGATTCACCTCGAGTGGCTCGGATTCCTTGTGGAGAAAGGGCATTCAGTTTCATCACATTCTGTCTATTCTTAACAAACCCAAATCTTCTGCGGTGGTTGAAGAGGAAAGATGAAGTGTTGTCCACGATGTCGATGCCTCCCTGTCTGGAGTGTGGGCTGCTTTACTTGTTTCCAGTGATCCCTTTTCACCCTTTAAGACTCTACTTCTTGGTAGTGAATGTTGGCAGACTTGGGTAGTGATGTTTGATGACAGTAGGTTATTCCTGTAACATCCTTTCTCCTTCCCCGTCCCCCCCCTTATGATAGTAGGCAGCAATTGGGAGGGACAAAGTTTTCTAGCATGACGTGGCTCTCCTGGAACGTGGTATTGGGGAAGGAGCCAGATGCTGAGAGCTTGCTCTTTGGGTTTCATCTCTTGGTGTTGCAACTTTTGGCTGTCTTACCCAAATATTTTGTCCTCTGTTCTGCAGGTCGGTACAGATGTGAGAGGGTTTCCTCATGCTCCAAGGCCCCCCCATATGCCCTACCACATGGGGCAGGGTTTACCAGGCTTCCCTGGCTATGGGCCACCTCCACCTCCTCCACATGGGTGGACATGGGGGCCTCAACCACAGCTCATTCCTGCTACACATGGTAAGATGATCTGAACTGGATGACCTGAATCGTAAAGCCTATTCATAGTTTAAGTACTTCTGTTGGTGGAGAAGATGTAGAGGAGGTACCAGAAGGCTTTGCAATGCAAGGATCGACCTGAGTGAGGACATAGTAGCATTCGTCACCTTTCTGTGGACATCCATTTCATGGACTGTCTTGTTTCACCCTACAGAAATGGGCAGCAGGTGTCTGCCATAGAGAAGAAAAGTGACAGTTTGCAAAGGACAGACATAAAAGCTTTGCCCATGGGCACTGCCCAGACACAATGTTTTGGGCCCTGGGATGGATGAAGCACAACCTCAAATCACTGTTACTTGTGGAGGCCCCAGTTGTCCAGTGTTATTCACTAGCTCTGAAAACATCTGTCACTGGGTGGACTGATCACATCCTCAGTTGTGGGGGACTTGTCTCTCCTTTGTCCGCAGGGGTGAGAGGAGACCTGTGAGAAATGCTCTGAATCTGGAAGGGATGTGGGAGTGGGAGAGCGTGGAATAGGGTGGGGCAGGTGTAGAGGGTTGGCTTGCATCCTGCATGGTCAAGGCCAGTCTGAATCCACCTCTGTCCCTTGCAGGGCTTCGGTCGTATTCAGAAACCTGTGGCTCTCAAGGGGACAACAGTGGCACCCCGCCCAAGAAGGTCCCACAGAAGGACTAGGTAAATACTGTGTCTTTTCTCAGTTGTAACCATTTCTGGAATCCTGTTCCTGTCTGGGCAGCACCCTGTCCTGACCTGTGTCTATTGGGTATGTCCTGGGATCTGTGTGTGGTGTCATTGACCTTTCAATATGCCCAGTCTTCATTCGGAGCCTACAGACTTCTCTGTTTCCAAATCATCACCTTACGCGGGGCGTCCTGAAGCTCCACGTGCTTAGAAATGAAGGAGAGCAGGACCCTGCCCTTGTGTGTGTGTGTGTGTGTGTGTGTGTGTGTGTGTGTGTAAACTCCTGGAGGAGAGCAATATCTCACTCCACACTGAAGTCGGCCAGTCCCGCTGACTCCTTGCAGTTTGCTTTCCCGCGGGAGCGGTAGTGGTGTTGGGTTTCGGGTCAGGAGACTAAGCTGGGAGAATGTCTGCGGTAATCCTCACAGCTGGAAACGGGAAAAGCCATGCCCTGCCTCACACTTTGTGCCACGTGCTTTGGGCAGCCGTGAGTGTTGGTGGACAAGGTGAGCTGCGACCTCACGTGCGTTCCATCTGTGTGGGTAAAGACGCGACCCGGAATCCCTCCAGTTGCTCCCTGGGTGAGATGAAGGTGAACTCTGCCAGGGGCCAGCTGTGTGGTAGAAAACGCCTCCCAGAGCACAGCCGTGAAGAGGGAATCCCGGTGACTCCCTGCAGGGCCCACGGCTCACACACGTTTCAGTCGTGCTCCCGTGAGCGGGTTCTGATGCGGTTTGCTGGCTGTGCCGACTGATAGCGTCTCTCCTGATCCACCCTGGGAGGGTCACGCCTGCTCTCCAGACACATTGGTTTGCACCCGGGGATGCAGAATGGGCCCCTCAGTGGTTCTCGGCACCAAGGACTATGCATTTGCTCTGTGCCTGAGCTGAGGAGCATCGGAATGTCGGTGACTCAGATCCACAGAGCTGGGTCTCACGAACTCATCGGGATCGTGTTCTTCTCAGCACTTTTCCCGGTCCGCTGCAGGACTCCAGAAACTCCCGTCTCCTGAGCGGTGTCTGTGGCCATGGACAGCACTTGGGAGAGTAGAAGAAGACCCCTTTGTCAGGGAGGGAAGCGGAGCAGGGTCAGGCGGGGGCTGGTGGGCAGCAGTTGGACCCACGAGGGGCTGTGATTCCACGTGTGGACACTGGGCTTCTCCGGACTTCTCACCGTGCTGACCCCTGCTTCTTCGGGTTTCAGGTTGATGGGGGTTCTGCTTCTGTCTGTCATAGCAACATTCCTTTGGTTTCTGTTCTGCAGAACCCTGTGGATGCAAGAGGACCTGCTCCTGTACCCGGCCCACTGGGTCCACCGTACCCCACGGATCCCCCTTCATCACCATCCTGGAGCCCTGGGGCACATCTCCCTCCACCCACCCAGTGGTCTCTGCATCCTTACCCTGCACCCGAACCTACACCACAGGGTTTGATGATATGAATTGTATGATTTGACTTATAATCTGTATTGTCTTCTTTCTTATTGAGTTGGTGGGGCAAAGGCCAAGTTTGTGCTGAGGCCTTGACATTGGGAGGGGAAAACCGCCTGGGGGCGCTGTAACATCCTGAAGTTTCTCAGGACATACAGGTGTTGTGCTGGGCTATTTCCACACACTGAGCGGGGGGAGGTGCCGTTGTTGGGAAGGAAGTGTCTCTATCGCACAATGGCAGACATATATTTCTTACCGTCGGGCACGTCCAGAGTCCACAGTTGTTGTTCTGGGCGGGATGAAACACACCTCTCACTTTGTTTTCAGCGTGTTGAGTTTGAGCTCTCATTTCCTCAGTTATATAAACACCTGAAGCAGGGCTATGGTCCCTTGATTAATCATTAGGGCAGGGGTCTGTCCCTTGTCCTCGGCAGTCAGTGGATACTTGTGGGAAACCCTCTTGTCCGGTAAGGGAGGTGAGAATGAGAAACAGTGGCAGATGCTGGAGGCAGGTGTAGACGGTTTGTTAGAATGTTGCTCAGTCACTTCCAGTGGGATGGTCTTCCGTCTTTTCTCTGACGTGGGTCAGATACAGACGCTGGGGCATCCTCCATAAGGAATAGCAGTCCTACATGCAGGCCTCTCATGTTATGGGAGAGTGAATGTTGCTAAGGACATGATCACTTTCTTCAGGTTGCTCAGGAGACGCCTTTGAGGGACTTTGTCTTTCACTCATACTGAGGTGGTCAGCAGGTCCCTTTGTGGTGAAGGAGAGCCGCTCTTCTCCAAAAGCTGGGCACAGCAGGTATGCGCATGCACACTGTGCAGAGACGATATTCTGTGCTCTGGGAGGGATGAGGAGGGAATTTCAGGGGTCTGAGAGCAGCGAGGGACACATTCATTAAACGACAGAGAGGTTGTGTTCCGTATAAGGGAAGCCCCAGCGATGGATCTGAAGGACCAGAGAGGGAGCCATGAGTCACTAGAAACAGGAGGCTGTGGATGAGCAGGATGGAGGTGCTCAGGGGAGTGGATGGGCCTCTCTCGGGTAGAGCGGAGGCCGTTCCTGCAGGCCAGCAGCTTGAGCAGTGAGTGTGAGGACACCGTGAGATCCACACCGAGCTGCTGCCTGTGTCCATCACACAGCGTGGATGATGCAATTATTTGTATCAGAACGTCATGGTTGCCATAAAGCTGTTCGTTCATAATCTATAAGGATTGTTGTTTCCTCTGAATTTCTGAAGGTTCTGAACTGGGTGAAAGAATGTGGTGGAGACTTGGGAAATTGAACTCGGTTCCTTTGGGGATTCTTGTCTGCCTGAGTTTGTGGGCCCCAGTGAGAAAAAGTGAAGACGGGACCAAGATCAGCAGAGTGGCTGCCTTGGCCTTCAGCCCGAGTCAGACTCTTCGTGGGGCATTCAGGATTGACCAGGAGCCACTCTCGCTGGATCCCTGTCACTATGCCTCTGCATCTGAGTCACCGCCCTGCCTGCACTTTGCATCTCCCTGAACTTTGGTCACAGTATCCTGCGGATTGACCTGTGTTCCTGCCCGAATGCCAGCTCTCCGTGGGGCCTACTCAGAGCCTCAGCTCTGTTATCTGTGAAAGGGGAGCCTGTCGGATTCTGAGGTCATTAGAAGAATAGGAGTTGAAGTACATAAAGAATCTGCAGGGGCCCCTGGGTGGCTCAGTCGATTAAGCATCGGACTCTTGATTTCTGCTCAGGTCATGATCTCAGGGTTCTGTGATCGAGCCCCAAGTCAGGCTCGGCGTTGGGTGTGGAGCCTATCTAGGAATTTCTGTCCTCCCCACCCACCCCCCCCACGCCCCCCACGCCCCCCACGCCGCCTTTCCAGCACAAATTTGCCCTTTTTCGGTCTCTATCTCAAGAAAAGAAAAAGAATATGCAAAATATCTGGGCTCTTGGCCACTCCCCCTTCTCACTGTTTAAATGAAAATAGCTCCATCAGATGATCATCAAAAGATGTTCATTTAAGTCCACAACATTACACTGAGAGTATAACACCTCAGCCCAGAGATTGGCATCCTCATTTCAAAAATAAGGCAAAGACCCCCCCTTTTTTTTTCTATTAAATTTTAGGTCCTAGCCAAGAACGAAGTAAAAGATCATTATGAGAACATGTATATTCAGAGATTCATATCTGAGATGTGAAGACAGTTATTTTCTATTACATACAGACTCACGGAAGCAGCCACACCCTCAGGTGTTCATTCAAGGCCTCAGATATACCAGAGGAAGCAAATGCATTCAGGAAAACATAAGGTCACAGTGTACTAACCCCAATCCGTCTGCCTTACAGGACAGTACATTTGCTATTTGAAGACCTCCCAGAGCAGTAACAACCAGGCTGTGTGTGCATATATTTAGAAAATTGTCAGATCAGCCTAATGTCCTGAATGTTGTCCCTGCCCATCCTGTCCCCTGTGCTCTGTCTCTCCTGGGATCCCCCAAATAAACCTTCCACGGTTCTGTCTCTGTGTCAGCGTCTGCCATCAGGACGCCCTACAGTCGCTCCCCTTCGAGTGCACGCTGTGAAGCCCGTACACACAGAAAACAAACCGGCAGCAATGGTGGTGACGGAGAATAGTAGCAAGAGTCCCCTTTGTGGTATCTTTACTGCAAGGGGCGTAAGAAATCCTTCTGGGGAGGCGGACACAACATGTATTTAAGTCTGTTGGTGGTTGTATGAACTCTGGTGCTAGATACTCTTGAGCACATGGCGCCTGCTAGTTTAAGGGGTGTGTGGTGATCAGCAGGACAGGTGTCTGTCCCCAGGCAGTGGTCTGTTGTGATGGTGAGGAATGAACGAAGCATCCCTAGTGGCCCTGGGAGACCGGTGAGGAGGCCCTGCATTAATCCAGATTTTGTGCACTGGTTTCACCTTACCAGCTGCCCCCCAACAGCAGATGGGCTCTGAGGGGGGCTGATGGTGACAGTTTTCTTGGTAAGACCCACGATGCCCCATAATCCGCCCCCAGTTTCCTTGTTGAGGGATGGGCAGGGCAGAGGCCAATGACAAGAGACCCATTCCTCCCTCACCACACAGGAGGAGTTGGGTGTATGCTTCTGTCACTTTTTAGTCCTTTACTCCAATCCATTCTGCACCACAACTCCTGGGTCTTGCAAAGCCCTCCTTCTTCCCGGGTTGTGGAAGCAGCCATCCTCCAGTAGCTTTGAGGTCGTGGCTGGGCCACCAAGGTGTCCAGGTCTGTCTGTCCACATGCTTCCCAGGAGTGGCTGGTAACTGCACTGCTGTAGTCAAGGTCAGCCTGAGCAGCCTTTGACAATGGGATTGCCATGCCCTGTGAGCAGGGTCTGGGCCGAATGATGGCAGGAGAGAGGGGGAGACAGGAGAGGTGGTTCCCTGTGGTCTTGGACAGGGCTGCACAGAGCAGAAGGCCTGAGGGCCTGCGGAGAGATAGGGAAAGAGACTGTCAGGGAGAGAGACACTGAGTGAGTGGTGGGGGGATTGGGCAAGTCCTAGAAAGTGAGAGGAACAAAGAGAGAGACACAGGGTAGAGAGAAGCAGAGACAAAGAGGAATTTCAAGGATGAAAAGAGGTTGCTGGTCTAGGTGTATGGAAGTGGACCGTGGACCAGGGTGGAGGAGGTCGATGTGTAGGTGCTTTGAGCATTGGGACCCGAGAAGGTGGGAAAGCAGGTGATCAGATTTCCCTGAGCCCAAAGCTCCCACCTTCCTAGGGCTGAGCTTTGCAGAGGCCGTTTCACTTGGGAAGATGGGCACACGTCCTTTTGCATGGACTTGTGGGGCCGAGCCTCAGGATCTGTCATGGAGAGAGATGGCTTGGCTGGACCTGAGCATGCTCTGTCCCTCCAGCTGAGGGGCCATGGCTTTGAGCATTGTAGGGATTCCCAGTGCGGCCAGGAGAGGGCGCCCGCGCACCTCCACCGGGACGCGGAGGTTTCTCAGCGTTTGCTGACCCAGGGCATCTCAGAGCAGGAAGGACTTCTGTAGCAGCCCAAGGATCCAGCCCCACTCTGGCTGCCCCAGGATAGAGAGCCAGGGCTGTGGTTCCAGTAGGTTCTGCCACCACCCTGTGGGAGACCCTGGGGGCTTTGCAGCAACTTGGTGCCTCCTGACGTGCCACAGACAAGCTGCTTTGTTGGGTGAGTGCTGAGGAGGGGGCTCTGGGTGTCTTCCCAGGACATGCTGGTAGGTGAGCAGCACAGTCGCTTGCATTTCCTGAGCTGTTCCCCTGGTTCATTCCTCCCTTTCCCTGAGGGTATTTCAACAAGACGTATTTTACTCAGGGATCCGTGGATTGAGGGGTCCTGCAATGTCACATCAGAGATGCTGTGGTGGTTTTGTTACAGCTGGAACCAGAGCCCCAGGTAAAAGCACAGAGTGTCCTCCACTTAAACATGCGTTTACTGCACAGTTAATTGGTAATGTTTATAGGAAGAGAACATGATTAGATTTTTTTTTTTTTTGTCACTAATGCAACATACTATCAATTGCTGTTAAGCTTGGAAAACTGCACTTGGTTAACACTGATTTCAAGGTTAGTGAGCACTCTTAAGCTTCAGGTCCCATGCCTCCTGAGACTCCAGGGAATGGGAATTTTTTTCCTGGAGGAGGAAAGTGTTCACTGTTTTGCAGTCAAGGTATAGACTTTAGGTAGTCCTCCATCCCTTGTTAAAGGAGTATGTCTTTGTCCCTGGCAAGTTTTGAAGAGTGCTTATTAGAAAAGTTGCTTGAATTGAAACTTCTAGACTCAAATAGTGGAGTTCGGGTTTTCATGGGACAGAAGTTGTTATTTAGGAAGTATCAGTGTTGGGACTGTAAGTGATAATAAAAGTAAGGAACCATGCCAGTCATTTGGCGTATGACGTGGAGCACTGCACTAATTTCTCAATGTTTCAGATCCCAGGGGTCATGATATTGAATATACACATGTGAGGAGAGGGTTGGTGCCCTGCTGTCATTACTGGCACCCCCCATCCTGCACACACAGTGACTGCCTATACTGCAGTTGCCGGCAGCTCTTT